CGGAGAGCACAGCACTCCCACACCATGCTCCTCAGGTTGTCCTCGTGGACGGCAGCCAACAGAGAATGGTCATCTCTCCACCAGCTTTCAGAGAAGTGAAGTTCAGAAATGATGGTGGGTGATTTGGATCTATATGTGACAGTATCACAGAATCACASAATCTTCAAGGTTGGAAGAGACCTCTAGAGATCATCTAGTCCAACCTTCCCGCTCCAGCAGGGACACCCAGAGCACGGGGCACAGGGYGGCATCCAGGCGGGTTTTGAAGACCTCCAGAGAAGGAGACTCCACAGCCTCCCTGTGTGGGAAGGAAACGGAAAGCAGAAAGGGAAGAAAGGGATTTTTCATTTCTGTCTCCCTTCCCTTGGCCTTCACAAAACATAGCAGCCCCAAGCAACAAACTCCTATTTGCATGGGCTACCAGTTTGCTCTTGGTTATATACATCCATATATTTATATATTGGCTATATAATATATAAAGATATATTTTGATTATGAGYTATTTTATTGTGAGCCTGGATTCTGGGCCTAGATTCTCAGAAAAAGACTCCTAAAACATGCAGTTTTAGAGGTTTAGTTTTGGTTCTCCTGCAACAAAATTCCTCAAGCTGCCATACTGAAGGAGTTAAAGACCCAAACCCCAAAATGTTGTTTCTTACAAATACAGAGCTTTGCAGAGGTCATATTAGCAATGGTTTTATTGCTATGTGACATTTTGCAATACACTGTTATCATTCCAGTCTTTAATATGTAGACTACAAAAATAAACCATAGATCTAAAGTACACAGTATTAGTGTAATCCATAATCAATATACTAACAGACTCAAAGTATGCTACATAGGCACTTTACAAATAAGAAAAAGTAGTTTAAAATCCAGGTTTCAAGGAGATTTAACATGAAATTCAAAAGGTTACTTTTAACAAACTCAACTACCCACAAAGCCGCTAGYTCAGCTGTTTTAAACAAAAGCTGACAGATTGTGTGTATTGATTTATATATATATATCTATTTTAAACCAGAAATGCTCACTTGTGCTTGCTGAGGTGTTACAAACAATATATTCTTCATTTGAAAAATGTGTGCAATACTTCAATGCAAAAAGTATCCGTTTTTCTTAATGAACAAGCATCAAAAACTACATACACTATATACAGGGCATGAAAAAGTGAATAGGGCTGCCTAATCTTTTAAATTTGACACATACGCATATTGTACAAATAGGACACACGCACACACATTAGAAATATTGTGGATATTCCCATGAAAGTCCATATCTACCTACTTGCAGAAATGTCCTTGCTACTATGGAAGTACACTCCATTGAACCTTCAAAATAAAGCAGCAGTTATTTCTAAAGTAGTTCCATTCTAGCAATACAGACTTTCTAACAGAGAGATGTTATTTCTGAAAAAAAAAAATTAAAAAAATAAGAAATGACTACTTAATTGGACTCTAGAAAATCTGAACTTTCTCATTGGTACTAATATCTGCACAACTGTGCATGCACAATATTCATTTATACACATTTAACAAGAAAATATAGTCACTTGTTTTAGCAAGAAAAAAGCAATATTCCTAATAATGCATTTTCTTTAGGATATCCTCTCAATGGATATATACAGTATATAAAAAAATCAATTGTCAGCATACAAAAATATAAGTGAGTTCAGTATCTTTTTATATATCAAAACCTAATCATCAAAAATTCAGATATCCTGAGACAGGCATGCACTGTGCATCTAATTTACCAATGCCAGTGTACTGCTGGAATACAATTAGGAAAGCATTACCTGCGTTTCTAAATAAGTGTAAAAATATCTAAGGCAATGCAGTAGCTTAAAATACTCTCCTGCTTTCATCGTATTAATCAGTAACAGTGCAAAATCTGCATAAAATGCTGAAAGACAAATTCATGTAGCAACTGCAAAGTAAATGGTAAGYAACAATATTGTAAATACACCACACTTAATAATTTTACAAATGTAAATGAAAACAAATGAAAGATACTTTCCTGTTCTGAGCATCATGCTTAACCGCAATGTGTACACGCACATTTAAGCAATTGTCTTAAAAACACATATGGTAAATCTGACAAAGAAGTAGTGAAATAAATCAGTGCTGCTTGCCATGAATTTCTTCAAGGAAATGGAGAATAATAAACTTATTCTGAAACAATAAACTCATATCTGAAAAAAAATGTATGAATCAGAGGGATCTAATAAATGAAATATAATTACCATAAATCCTAATTTGACTGTTTTGGCTAGAAAACAGTAGAAGTTGTTCTGACTCCCATTGTCTGCATTAAAAATAATAATTAAAAATAAAAACATTTATTTGCTTAAACCACTGGGTTTCAGCTATCTTGAAAAACACCAGAAGATTTTAAATTTCTCTGTGGACATACACTTGATATTGCTTCATCTGAAATCAGAAATATGTACTTGAAAATGGATTCCTAAATACAAATGTGTTCAACAATTAGAAACCAGCATGTACACCTTTTTTCATTATTTACATTTACAGTCTGCAAGGATACTAAGTGTTACACTTAACTTGGGGAGCTACACTGAACCAATGCTCATTTCATAGCATAAAGATTATTTAACATCCTATTATTTAAAGGTGATGGATACAAAAATAGTCCTAACATCATTACTTCCACCTTAAAATCAAGAAGCTCTCTCCACACGCGAATATTACCACGGGACTTAACTGTTATTGGCTCTTAACTCTGCCCTCCCAGCTGTTAAATTTCCTATAACACTCTCTATTGCTGAATTATGGGTGAAGACCTAAAAATTACATGTAGAATGCTTTCCCTAAACTGGTAGAAGGTATTGTCATTAAAAAAAATTAAAAAAATAAAGAAGGYGTAATCTGTTATAGTAGAAGTAAAGATTTCACAGGCTATGAGTGTTACGGTTCTTGTAAATGATCACTCTTGGTCATCTCTTCTCTTTGTCTGAAAGCCTAAAAGTCTATGAAAGGATAAACATACTGTAGTAAGAGCTTATTTGTAATTCTGCAGGTGTGCATTGCAAAAAAAAAAAAAAAAAAAAAAAATCCTGTACATTTACCAAGCAAGATAAAGAGCCTTAGTCACAAACATATATAAATTGATGATTTAAGAACAGGGCTCTTCAATGTCCATCTAGTTTTGCAACAATACAGATGTGTTTCAAGTGAGCGCTGGATTTTGCAGAAATTTTGAAAAATATCAGGCACCCACTTTCCAAAGAGTCAGTCTCCTGATTTATGTCTAATTTCCTTTGAGTACTTTGGAAATCCTTCCTCTATTTCCTCTAAGTACATCAGCCTAATTAGGTAAATTATTTTGCAGCACAGGTCCAAACCAGTGCTTCAGATAATGAACTTTTTGACTATGTCAAGGTTAAAGAGAGCTTGAGGACTCAGCCCATTTTGTCTATTATAAAACAACAAAAAATAGGTTTCTGATTCATGGTCTGTGATCCAGTGACTGTGGCTCATAACTATTTGTCACTCAATGTTTAAAAGTGTCTTCTACCCTGTGTTTTCAAGTACAAAAGCTATAACATTGCTATGTTATAAGAGAGACTATGGTGGCATCTGTACATTCCTGCCATTTTTCAGCCTGACAAAAAAATTATCATTAGATTAGCTACAACAACGTGTGCATGCAACAGATTGTCCTCTAGGTTATATTACACAGAACCAGCAGTTCCATTCAGCTGACTTCCCTTTGTGTAATAAAAAATAAAACAAAAATAAAAAATAAAATAAAATAAAATAAAATAAAATAAAATAAAATAAAATAAAATAAAATAAAATAAAATAAAATAGTAAAATAAAAAGATGCAGCCAACATTTTCCAGCAAGACTTGAGCTCCCACCATTCCACAGGGTTTGCAGAGCTCTCCTAGCCAGGAGAAGGTTACACCTTCTATGTGTTTCTAACTTCTGCACAAGCAATAATGGAAACATTTTTTGGCACTTCTGCCTGAAGCAAGAATTATTCTAACCAATACTGCCTCTCTGAATAGAACACATCAAAAAGTATGAAATATCCTGACTGGAATAACAACTAAATAAATTGTGACTCATTCTTTTCTTATGTACAAGCATTGGGTCCTCCTAGACAAAAAGAGTAAGTTTCTACTGAATAAAACCTTCTTTTAAGATMAGAAAGATTTCACCTTCATAGTTTCCCATAACTATTAAAGAGTGTAAATGTCAAAGCACAGAAGAGAAATTATGACTTGTCTTCCCTATTGCATGCTTTTGTCACAGTTTAAGGAAAACAWTCTATATTCAAGGCCAGATCACTAATAAATTGATATGACTATATAAATATATACACATCAAAGACAGACTATGTGCAGACATATGTATCTGTAGATATATAAAAATATTTACTTTCTTAGCAAAGTTAAAGTCTGTGTAAAAACGTAAAAATACTGAAAATTTGTAGGGGTCCCAATTCCTCCTTTGGAGGAATGAAAGAAGTCCCTATAAATCCTAAGCAAAAAGCACTCTTTGCAAGAGTACATCTTGTTCTTAATTCTTACCTATTTCTTTGTGAATTAATACATTTGTTGAAATTTATAAATAATCAGATTATATGCAAAATATTATGCTGTGAAGTTTTATTGCTACAGCATAAATACAGGCTGCTACTGCATAGAAAATAGATTTTATTCAGACAGTACATGTCCCTATCAAACAGAATGTGTAGGTGCCACAGCTACAACTAGATCTGTTTCAGAAGTTTGCTTTATTTTGTTCTGACATGAAAAGTCATTTTGGGGTATTTTCTCTGAAAATACTTTGGCCAAAAAAGCAGCTAAATGCAGATGTRTTTTCCTGTGCTCTCTCAACTGTAKGATCTTCAAAATAAATCTATAACAGCTCTTAAAAAATGACAAAATAACGTAATGACAAAATAACGTAAATGACAAAATAACGTAAATGATGGCATAAAACATTAAAACACCAAACCTTGCACAAGCACTTCCAGTTAAATGTAACAACACTGTCCCATGCTCATCTTGTAAAGTTTTGCTAGTATGCTGTACAAAAAAACATGTACAACTTTGAACAACTCTGAAGCAATACAGAGACACTATAATGTAAAACATACATTAGACATCAGGGTCTCAAATTCAATCCAATGATGAAAGAAAATCAGATTTCAGATTCTTCTCTCCTTCAATATGACAACTGGAGAAAGGTAGAACTGCATCTAAGATGCCCTATTCACATTCCTTCCGAGTGAGAATGACAGCGGGATACTTTCGACGTGGCTGTGCTTACGTGAACACACATTCACAGAAGCAGCCAGCCTGGAGTCATTAGGCACAATTCTGAGGAAAATTTTTATCCTTAAACCTCACTTACACAACATCCTTGAAACTTTAATTTCATTGTTATGAAAAGGTGAGAACTTGGGACGCTGACAGGATTTAAAAAAAAAGGAAAAAAGAATTATCAGTGCAAAAGGCCCCATATGAAGTGCATGCCCCTTCTGTAGGCTTTTATCCCTTCCAGAAGAAAAGTCCTGCTAGTTCAGAGAGAATGACTTCACCTGGATACAAGACATCTCTTTTCAAGCTGCTGCCTGGTCCTATTTCATGTAGCTGAACCTCTGATGAACCTGATTCCAGTGTAAAATACCCAAGGAAAAATCCTGCTTTCCTAACAAGGCCGGAATGCACAGTTTCCAGGAATCCAGAAATGCTTTTTTTTGGAAGTCATACTCCAATGTCAATAGAGACTAGTTAAGATATTTCTTTCTTCATCCTGAGTAAAGAGCTTTAACTTATCAAAGCCCCAGGCACATACTGCTACAATGCAGTTAGATTTCACAGTCCTGGTGTCCTAAAAGCCATTATTGGATGATTTTCTGGAGTAGTTCTCCTCATTCCTCTCCAACAGGTGGTGGTGGCTGGCATAACTTGTATAATCTGATAGAAACAAAAAATAGAGCAAATGTTATTTCAAGAGCTGGATCTTTATTAAAATAGGCTTATTTAGGGAAGACAAATCTGAGTCTYCTGTTGCACAAGAAACGTAACTGCACTAAATTCAGTTTAATAACATTGGCATAAACCCAGTAAAATCTTGTTTATAAAAATGACCATTTGTTTGCATTGATAGTGGTACTATCAAAATAAACTTCCATAAGTAATAATGAATATACAGTAAAACAACATTCCTGTTTAATCAAGCTTTTATACTTCTGTAGTGAAGAACTCTCTCTGAAAGTAGTGAGGTCTATACTAACTCAATAACTTATCTGTTGCTCTGAATTTCTACTAAGTCTTTTAGCATGGACTTGGTTATTAATAAGTGTTTGGAAAGTTCCCCTAATATCAGAAGTATGGAAAATAAAGGGCAATCATTCTGACCTCAGGTCCATTAAAATAGACCTCTTTGTTCTCTAGGAATATCCAGCATTTTGCCTAGAACCACAACAGTCTGAAACAGCAAGAGGCATGATCTCATTTGGAGATTATGTATTTTCCTCAAGGAAAGTGTAGTATTGAAGCAAAAATAGAGAGGCTAAGGAGCTGGGTGTGGCAAGGAGAAAAAGCATTTAAAGTTCAGAACAAAAAGACAGTGATATCATAGACACATTAATACTGCATATCAAGAGTGTATGAAACTGAAATACAGAAGGAAAAAAAAAATAACCAACCAAACAGAAAAAAAAAAAAAAAAAAAAAAAAAAAAAACCAGTTGGGGGGGGTCTGACTCCAGAGAGGGTGGTGACTCTGCCTCTGCCTCTGTTTTGGAGGTTAGGGGTGTTTAAGATGTTCTGTACATCTGAGTTTTCTGGGTATATTCTGCAAACTTGCCATCAGATTATCACATTGGTTTATATCACTGCACTTAAACTAGTCAGGCATTTCAAAATCATACTGCAGGTCGACATGAAGAACAAAAGCCGGGACATGTGACAAAGCTCCACAAAGAATACAAGCCACCTGCTGCCTTCTTGGCAAGATGCTCTGTCACTGGAGTTACTTGAGGTACTCTCTGTGTCACAGCCCTTGCAGCAGGGCAGGGTATCTGCTGGTCTCTTTCAGTACTCTTATGAGTCAAAACTCTTATGGAGWGCTCCCTCAGCAAGTCTGCTGATGATACCAAACTGGGAGGAATAGCTGATAGCCCTGAGGGCTGTGCTGCCATCCAGAGGGACCTGGACAGACTGGACAACAGTAAGAAACCTCAWAAAGTTCAACAAGGGCAAGTGCAGGACCCTGCACCTGGGGAGGAATAACCCTGGATACCAGTACAGGCTGGGGAATGACCTGCTGGAGAGCAGCCCCGCAGAGAGGGACTTGTATGTCATGGTGGACRACAAGCTGACCATGAGGCAGCAGTATGCCCTCGTGGTCAAGAAGGCAATGGGATCCTGGGGTGCATTAAGAAGAGCATCTCCAGCAGGCTGAGGGAGGGGATCATCCCCCTTTATGCAGACCTGGTGAGGCCACATCTGGAGTATTGTGTACGTGGCTCCCCAGTACAAGAGGGATGTGGAGCTGCTGGAGAGAGTCCAGCRCAGGGCTACCAGGATGATCAGGAGCCTGGAACATCTGCCCTATGAGCAAAGGCTRAGRGAGYTGGGCCTGTTCAGCCTGGAGAAGAGGAGGCTGAGSGGGGACCTGATCAGCGTGTATAAATACCTCAAGGGAGGCAGTGAGGAGGAGGGGGGYGGCCTCTTTTCAGTGGTGGSCAGCGAAGGGACTAGAGGAAACGGCCACAAACCGAAGCATTGGAAGTTCCACAGGAACTTAAGGAAACATTTCTTAACAGTGAGGGTGACAGAGCCCTGGAACAGGCTATCCAGAGAGGTTGTGGAGTCTGTTTCCCTGGAGATCTTCCAATCCCRTTTGGATGCAGCCCTGTGCCACATGCTGTAGGTGACCCTGCATGTGCAGGGGGGTTGGACTAGATGACCTCTGGAGGTCCCTTCCAACCTTAAGAATTCCATGATTCTATGATAATCTGGTCATTTGACCATTTCAGGTCAAGTAAGCATTGGTGCAGAAGCCAGTGTATTTGTTAGGACACGCACAAGCCAACAGAAGTAGATCTCATCTCTGTCTACCGAGGAGAGAATGAGATGGCCTGGCCTTTATACAGCCAAGTATGTAGACAGAAGTAAACCAGGACTTACTCTGCATTATTTAATTCTGTCAATGCAATAAATCAACAATACTCATAGCAGGAAGAAGACAGATAGACTGTCAGAGTCTTATTAAAGTCAGTAATCASAGTGGGGTTAATTATCTGTGAGGTTTTAGCAAAATCTTACTTCAATAGAACAATATACAGGACACCTGAGCCTGAAGTATTGAAGTCTGGGAAATTTTCAGCTTAAAGTGGTAACATTTGAGAACATAATCTAGAGAGTAAACGAGCTAGGAGCACTCCAAAACAAATTTGCAGAGAGACTGCAGAAGTCTCTACGGAGTTATAGATTGAAGACAGTATAGGACAGAAACAGCCTCGTCTGGCTCAGTGTGTAACAGATGTTTGAGATGATACAAATCAGCAGAGAAAACACAGTGAACAGTGGCAATTGCAGAGAGCAGATAATTCCTTCCAAGYACATTTAAATGGAGCTGTCTTTAATGGCAAAGGGCATCAAAGAACTGATACCCTGCAGTATCAATTACCCACACTAAAAGTATCACTCATGCTGATAAGCATTCTGACTTACATGGCTTGTTATCTCTAATGGTACACAAAATACTCCAAACTCTGAGCCAATGAGATATTTCTGRTTACTGCTACTGACTTGCAAGCATGTTGGATGCATCTCTGCTTCATTCTATCTATGTTCTGAAGTCATCTGATAATTTTCACTTAGCTCTTTATCGTTAAGTTAYGGGATTTTCACCTAGAGAGAAGTGACCTTTTCCTAATTGATGTAACAKGTTTGATAATTTGCCAGCAGAAGAAAGCTAATAAATGCCTGCTGGCCAATTACTTGTAACTTTTTCTGTTTAAGAACTTGAACTTCTCTTTTTTATGAACTTGAACYTCTCTTTTATGACAAAAGCTTTCAATCCAGATGAAAAGAGACTCACTTGGTTTGCCACAAATCTTTGGCCATCTGCAGAATCATGTCACAACAGAGTCTAATGAAGGTCAGAGTCATACGGTTCATACTACATAGCTTTTCATGCACAAAATGGTATTATAAGGCTTTGGTTCCCACAGTGCAAGACTGTTGATGCTGGGTTGCCTTTAAACTAATTGTTAATGTGAGAAAAGATACTCTCATCTGCTAGAAAGGATAAGGGCTTGTGACGGATACGTTCCTTTCCCAGCTTATCCTGGCCTGTACCTTACATGCAGCCCTGTTTTGTTGCTGACCACCAGCGACCGATCTAATTCTGGCAGGCGCCATCGTCCTGATTTCTGTTCTCACTGAGACTTAACAAAAACAGTCCTCAAGGCTGCATCGTAAACAGGGAGATAAGGCTGACACACTAACCTAAGTCTTTGAAGTTAAAAATATGACTACAAGCYAATCATCTTATTCCATAAATACTCGGACAGCCTGAGAGCCCCTTTGAGCTCTCCTGACACGGCTGCGGCCTGCACACCAGGATCTCCCCTTGGGCAGGGACGCCTCTCAAGGTTACTCCTCGAGGTTCCTCGAGAGATCTTCCTTTCCACAGCAGATTTGTGGTAAGTGAATATAGCGCGCTTTCTTTCTTTCTTTCTTCCTTGCTTGCTTTCTCTCTCTCTCTCTTTCTTTAACTTTACTTTGTAACATAAGCACCCTCAGTCATAAACCGTTGACCAGGTCTGGGACTAGGATTGGATCCAGCCGCACCCAGACTCCTCTCAGAAGGAGCCTGGAAAGCAAGGGGGTCCAATCTGAACCTCATGACCCAACGGGAGGGTATCCCAAGATAATCTTGTATTATCTTGTGCCTCCATGTAGTGAATAATAAGTGACCTTGCCATAGAATCTCGTGAAATCATTGTCCATATTAATAAATCCTGTTATTATTTCTTTCATACGAGTGAAGTGCATTTGTCACTCACCCCCGCCACCACTCGTTCCATGACAGGGCTTTAGTGGTAGTGGGTTTGCCAACGCTCCTTGCTGCATCTGGCTAAGCTTCTGATAACAGCTTAAAACAAAGTCCCCTCTTACGGGAGCTGTGAAAGAGAACTGCTCCATAGATGTATTCTGTGGGGATTCTCATTAAGGCACAAGATTCTTCAATGGAAAACCAGAAGACTATTGACCCATTTGTGTTACCCAGCCAAATGCCTCTTGCTCTAACATTCAGCATTAAAGAAGAATAATGAAGATCAGCCTTTACAACAGAGATGAGCTTTCACTAGAGACATTTGGTAGTCATATCAATGTCTCCTCAAGTATCAATGGGATCTTCTACACTGAAAATCATGTAAAACACAGAATCCCCTGCATGTGTATGGTACAGAAATCTTCCCAATCCTTTCCCCAGCTTCAGAATCAGTACTTTTGTTGGACAGCATTTCATCTATGCCATAGATTTTTGATGACACAGAGTTCATCAACTGTTTTGTTGACGAAGCACTTCCRCAAAGGCCTTTTTTCAGCACTGGCCTTGCTGCTTGAAACTATTTTTGAGCTTTGCTTAATGGCATAAACAGGCAGCAAGTATTGATATTCCTCCTGCSGTCATTACCAAAGCATAACATCTGGAGTGTTCTTTTCAGCTATTGCTACTAATGATCACTGCAAAGTTATTTGGTGCCCGTGCAGCTGATGTCTTGGTCTGTCTTCTTTGGTTTACCTGAGAGTAGAGTATTGCTCTTGTTGGAGTAAACCATCATATTAGTGAGGGCTTTTTTGGTTGGTTGGGGTTTTTTTTGTTTGTTTTTTGTTTTTTGTTTTTGCTTTTGCTTTTCTAGGCTTAACTAATCAGGGTAGACCAAGACCACCTGCACCCCTGTATGGATTACCTACCCTCCTTGAGGGTTAAAAAAATTCAAGTATATCTACTTATATGGAATAAGTCTGTTAAAAAATGTAAGGCTTGAGCTCTGCTGGTTAGATTAGACATTAGACACAGTAATAGCTATGAAACACAAATCTTTCAATAAAGAAAGATGTGTGTTTGAAAAAAGACCTGTCAAAAATAAAGGAAATGTGAGGCTGAAAGTACTTAAAAGGCAGTTAAAAGGCAAATAAATATTTCCAGAAGGCTACTGTGTCAGTCACTTGCCATATTCAGTCTCACTACCATAACTGGTAGAGGGAATTGGAGGAGTCCATCTATCTTGCCCTATGTGGAGGCACAAGATGCATATATGTCCCAGCAACACTGTTATGCAAGTTTATTCATATCTTGTGCACTGAAGGTGCACTCCTTTCCTAGGATTAGATCCAGCAAAAGCATGGCACGATGCCTAGTGATTTGCTATGAACAGATTATAACCAACAATTCCTAATGGGAAGAAATGGGCACACTGGAGGAAAGGGGAACAAACTGCATAAGAAAAGATTACTATAGAATTACTGATCGAAATCCTGAAAGCAGTCTTTCTTGTAAGGCTATGGACAATATATATGTTCATACATATAGATTCCTTGATGTTAGTATTACATTCTTTCCTTGATGAAATTTAAATACCACAGTAGGTCTGTTATGTAAGTCCTCATATCTGTTCATACCTTCAACATGTTATTATTACTCATCAAGAAACACTATGCTTTAAATTGGTAGAAAAAATACTAAAGGACAACTGGATTAATATAACCACCTTAAAATGAAACTAAGAACACTGGAGTTGTTATTTTCATTTGTAAGTATAATGCTTGTTATAAACACTTTTCAAGTGTCTGTAATCTATTGTCACTGAAAAATGTGTGTGCTATATTTAGACAGGTTTTAATCTAATGGATGCTTCAGGACAAGACAAAGGAAGACTGTCATCTCTAAAAGCAACTAGAGTGTGATTGCACTAAGATACTGCACTGCAGTATTTTATTAAAATAGGGTTTTGCACTTAGGGCATGAATATTTCCTTCAAAATACTGAAGATCACAAGTGATGAGGGCTGTACTGATTTTCGAATAGTGAAATCTGATTCATGTTAATTATGAAAACACTAAAATTTTAAAGTGCTGCACAGCTGTAACTTCCGTAACTCATTACTTTTATGAAAATAATATGCCTAAGAACCTAGTATATTACGTTAAATCTTACCATTACCAAAATACAATGCCATCCATGTTAGTTGCTAACTTGTGAGTCTCTAGGCAATTACAATTAGTTAGTAACAATTTGTTACTAATTAGACAAATCATGGTCTAGAGGACAAACAGTTACCTTGGGACGGACTGTGGTGTTCGGTCCCTCACTCCTAAATTCTTGGCTGTATTTTGTACTCTTGCTCCCTGTAAAAGACAAATAACAGCTTTGCTTCAATTTTTTCCAACACACGTTTTCTTTCTGACCTTCTAGATCAATGTAATTATGTCATAAAATTAATCAATATATATGCTTCATATCCTTGAACAACTCTCCTCTTTTAAGGTGCTGGACAAGCTAAAGCAGTATATTGATTTTCAACTTAAAGCGATACACAGAAAAGAAGCACAATCCTTTCCCATGTCATTATATAAATAAGTACATTGGCTGAGAGAGATACTAGATTTGTRTGAAACATATTCTATATGTGTTTCAACAGAGCTGCAGTGGCAACAGCACATGATGTAAAAATATGGCACAASCACTGATTCAGAGTATTAGTACAGTAAGACTAGAACTTGCATTTGGTAAGTCTTAACTTAAGTCTTCATAGTTAGTCCTCAACTTTTATGAAGACTTGCAAAGAGTTCAGAGGAGAGTGATCAGAATCACCGAATCATAAAAACATACAATCAAAAAAGAAAAGTCAGATGAACTTATGTTGTTAAATCCACATCAGGGATGAGTTACTTGGGAAATGATAATCATCACATACATAAAAGTCAAATTAGGCACCAAGTAAAACATTCTAATGAAAAGAATWAAAAAATTCCGGAAGAGATTGCTTGGGGAGCACTGCATAAGAACATCCATTACTGGAGGATTAAGAACAGGTTAAGACAAGTGTCTGTCCTAAGTAATGTATAGYTGATCCGATTTTGATCAAAAGACTGGATATGCTTCAATCTAGATTCCACCATCTTCAGTGTCCTTTCCTCTATGCCATTTTCTAAAATGTTATGAAAATAAAAAATACCATAATAGACTGTCAATGGCTCAAAGTGAAATATACATATACATATGAATATAGAGAGCGTACACAGGAAAATTATCAAAATTAATCATATGCAGATATTAACTTAAATGCTGTGACTACTTCTGAGAACAAAAAAACAGGCTATTTTTACTTGTATCACTCACTAGACAAATTTATTTTAACATCTTGTTCCCATAATAAGTCAAATGTGCTGACTTAAAAATGAGTCTAGTTTTATACAGTCATGTAATTTAGAGTTTAGCAGGAGAGCGAATTAATCCTACAAATTACAACCACCACATTCTTATTCCTTTCGGAGAAAAGCCCTCAAGATTTACTAACAACTTGCTATACGATACCTCTTAGTCTCCATTTAGCACCATAATATCATTTCTATTTCAATACACTGTTAATTCACACTTCTGTGATATCATTCCTAAACCTATGATAATGAGAATATTGACATTGTTTGTCTCGTGTGGGCATAACAGTTATTTTTAAGAGACTCTAGAATTTTTTTCTCTGTAAAACACTACTGCTGGAGCACTCATGAAAGGTTCCTTCAGCTCTAGGGAGGTACCATCATCAATCTATAATATGACAGATGAGCTAGCATTTTCAGTGCCATGAAAGTCAAGTGATAGGTTTATTTTCAAGTTACACATTACTTTAACAATAACAAAACCAGTCAACATCAATTATATTTATGTCTGACTTGGCACAAAATCAACAGCATTCTTATGAGAACTCTTCCAAATGCAATGCCCTTACTATATTCATGAAAAAGCATGGAAAAAATATTTACTTAAAAGGAAACACAGATTCTCTCCCAACATTTCCTCTATCAGCTATTTAGTTACCTCTGTCCTTGCGACCCTGAGGCCTCTTATAGCTCCTTTCTATGTCTCTATTTACATTTTGATGCCTTCTGAAGACAGTTCTATTAGGATGCTCTTAGTAGTAATTTGTGGGTAAAGATGTTTACAGGAATAAATACACATCAATGAGAAAGTTTAAAGATGGTTGGAAATTTTGTCAGGTTTTTTATTTTAAAATCAATCTAGACTGGATTAGCTGATGAAGAAGGGAAAATATGTATTTAAAATTGTTGCACTGACCCCAGTTCATAATAACTCTCATAAATTGCTCTCTCTTCTTCAGTTACAGCAAGATAAATGCGAGTAGGCACCCAGTTATAATTGACAGGGCAATTATTCAGACAACTRTTCCGACAACATGGTCAGGGATATTAGGAGTGCTGTTAAGCATGAACAGCACCTAATTCAATTTAATGGAGAAAAGCACTTCCTGAGGTCATCGACACAATCAAGTGTCTCCAGCTATTCCGTACTGGTGTTGAAAAACATATTCCAGTAGAGACAATTCTAGTTGAAACAACATCCTGATTTGGAAAGATAAGAGCTGCTAGGAGATAGCATTGCTGGCTTTCAGCAACAGAAGAGCAGATGGAAAAGATGTCCTTTCATTTGTATATTCCTACAGCTAATTTCTCTTTATTATCCATAAAAATTTATGGTGCAAATGGACTAGTGTACAGGATTACTTTTTCCCCTACATTAAAACAGGAAAAACATACATGTATTCACCTTCTCTGAATGTTCTGCACCAATCCTCAAGAAGCTCTTAGTCTTTTTTACCAAGCTTTGTGTGTGTGTCCTAATGGTTAAATCCTATAGATATTAAACATTAAGTCAGGAAAAGCTTTCTAGAAAACACTAGTGTTTGGTGAAATTACTCCCAAACATTTAGAATGCAATGAAGGATTATATATATCTATAGCAGAACTCCAAGAGTCTGGCTTACTGTCTACTAACAGACTTTTTTTTGCAGTGTCTGTGGGTGATATTGAAATACTGGTATTCTTAACAGTTACTGATCATCTGCTGTTTTACTTCAGAGAAGGTAGGCCCACTGTGGGTGTCTTTTTACATCTCAATTTGAGCAAGCCTCAGTACAATTTCATCTGCTCAAGCAATTTAGCAAGTAACTTCTCTTCTAATTTTATTTTTCATTTTAACTTAAAAASCTATTAGAAGACCCAGAAAGGCACCATTTTCTGAAAACTGTCCAGAACCATAAATTGAAAATGTGCATTTTTGCAGAATACATCTCTGAAAACAGACAYGTACAACTTTATGTCTAATTTCTTTGTGAAATATCCAGATTTGCATGTTGATAGAACTTAAGTAGAAACATCATCATATAAATGCAATTTTGTTTTTATACTGCAGTAGCTTTCTTTTAATGTCAAGTTAAAACTGCAATTTCTGAGCACACCTACATGATCTGACTCAGGAACCCTGAGGGTATTTATTCATTGCAGAAACTGAATTCATGCACTGAAGGAACTTGAAGTCAGATACAAAAAACTATGAGACTCATTACTCAGAAATAACATTAGACAGTAACACTTAAATATAATTGATCAAAATCTATGATGCAGGAATATTTACACTATTCCTTAGTAGACTAACGGTTTGATCTAGTTTATATGCATTTTATCTATGGCAAGTTAGAAGTAAAGCATACCTATTTAATAACTTTTTGTAATTAAATCGTGATTTCTGCACAGGATATGTACTAGAACTTAAGGAAATTATAAATTTAGATGCAAAATTACAACCCAGAAAAAGTGATTCTTTCCTTACCTGTGATTAGTTGTTCCCACATTCAATAACTTGTTTTTTTTCTTTCCCAGTAAATAGCACTTACTTTAAGATTGAATTTGTTTGTTTGAATTTGTTTGACTTCTGCATCCTGTTTCTTGTTTATGCTTTTGCCATAAGGTTKAAAGTTTCTGCAGGCTGGGATATATGTTCCATATGCACACAGAGTGCATATGCCCACCCACTGCTCAACCTCTTTGATCAAGCAAATAGGTTGGCTGTTTAATCTTCACTTCATGTGGCTTGTCTAATAACCCCTGGGTCGTTCATGTCCCTTCTTTGATCTCCTTCCAAGACTCCAAACTTATTTCAAAGCACTTATGTGATAACAAGATATCTCAGAAGTAGTTTGTCAATAGAGGGTACGGCCTAGTCCCTATTTCTAGTTTGTACTCCTTTTTAAAAAGATTATTATTATTATTATTATTATTATTATTATTATTATTATTATTAGCACCGGCATTTTTGTCAGATCTTTGTACTAAGAAATAAGCCTCTAAAATACAAACATCCGATTAGATAAAAATAATGAAAAATACTACTCAAAGTAAATATAATACCCTCCAGAATGATGTCTGGGAAGTACTTATTTCCCTTTCTCTTTCATTCATTCCATGAGTCACTTTTTATTAACTGTAATTAATAATCCCAGTTTATTTTTATTAAGATAAAAATATAAAAATGCTCTTCCTCAATAGACTATTCTGATTTACTGCAAACACAAAGAATATATTGCAGAAGTTATATAAAAATCATCAGATAAAATCATAACTCCATAAAAGTCAGGATTCATTTGCACAGAGAGCAAGCATCTGGTAAAAATCAGCCCATTCCCTTTTAAGAAAGAAATAGAAAGAGAGGGAGAGGGAGAGAGAGGGAGAGAGGGAGAGAGGGAGAGAGGGAGAGAGGGGGGGAGAGAGAGAGAGAGAGAGAGAGAGAGAGAGAGAGAGAGAGAGAGAGAGAGAAAGGAAAGAAGGACAGGAAGGAAGGACAGGAAGGAAAGGAAGGAGGCAGGGAGGGACGAAGGGGAAGAAAGAGAGAGAGAGAGAAAGAAAGAGAAAAAGAAAGAGAAGAAAGAGAGAAAAGAGAGGGAAAAAAGAGAGAAAAAGAGAAAGAAAGAAAGAAAAAGAGCGAGGGAGAGAGGGAGAAAGAGACAGAGAGAGAGGGAGAGAGTGGAAGAGAAAGAGAAAGAGAGAGAGAAAGAGGAAAAGATGAAAATGAGAGAGAAAAGGGGGGAGAGAGAGAGAGAGAGAGAGAGAGAGAGAGAGAGAGAGAGAGAGAGAGAGAGAGAGAGAGAGAGAGAGAGAGAGAATAACTCTCCTTACCACCCAACTAAGACAACTCTCACACAGGCCTTACATGAAATTAAGATGGGGATCCCAAAATACTTGGCCAAGTCATTCTTGTGCGATGGTGGCCTTCCTTGTTAGGAAGCAGCAACATCCTTCCCATAAGGAGCACCTTACCTGTTTGCGCATGACATCAGTAGCCTGCATGATATAGCGAGGAGGCAGCCCATGGCTCCGTGCCAGAATGATGGCTTGCTCCAGGGTCACACTCAGAGTGCAGCTGCAATGAAGAAAATGAGCTCAGGCTACTGCTAGCAATGGTTTCTTAAAATGACTCCTATATCTAGAGAATATTCCCTAAAAATACTGAAGGATACTGTATATTATCTTAATTTAAAATTAACATTTGCTTTTTGACTCTGACCAGAAGTCACAAAGGTGAAAAATTAGAATAAATGGGGAATTGAGACCAGAGAATATCTTACTGGGAGTATATATCTTCTCTAATATTTCGTTCCCAATTAACGTTCCTTTCACCAGATTTACATTACTTGGTATTTTTCYGGCAAAATATTTGTGACAATGACCAAAAAATAAAAGTCACCCAACAACGATCCATGATGAGCAGAAACCTTTTACTACCTCATTTAGCAAGATTCCTTCATTTATTATGTTTCTTAAGCACAGTTCACATTTGGTAGGGCTGGTGGTGTGTTCCCTGTTACTGGCAATTTCATTTCTGCTCTTCTACATCAAACTGGACTGTGTGGGCCATCTTTAGTCCCACAGAGTGGCTMAGTGATGCATCTTTTCTTTCAATGCCCTTTGAACAACTAGTTGTGCTGGGAACTACCACCATTCTCTTCCTGTTCCCATCTCCTGTGTGATACCCACTTACATAGCACTAGATTTGCACGTAGAGTTACTTGAGTGCCCACTGCTTCCTGAAGTCGGAAAATTGTAATCTCTTAATGTACCTTTTTATTACAGAGCAAATTCTTGATGTCTTATAAAAAAGCAACAAATATAAGCATAAAAGAACTGCTAGAAGAACAAAGGAAGAAAATTGTGTAATAACGACAGTCTGTTTTCCCCCAATCACGTATCACCAGGTCGAGCACTCTACTACAGTGTGAGAAATATTTCACTTCAGACAGAAATAAAAGGTTTTGATGTTTTGGTGCTAGAAATTTCACGACAATCTTTTTTTATGGAAGTGTCAGTGTGCAAGGATGCAGCCCACAATATAGTATTGCCATTCTCCATAGCAGGCAATAAGCTTCGTACAGAAGTTGCAAGGCCTTGGGACTGAGATTTGTCACGCTTGCTGTGGCTGCACTTTTCTTGACATGCCTCCATCTCCATTCTCCTTCWTTTCGCTGTGACACAAATTTCTCTAATCAACCAGATGTCTAATTAGTTTTACTTTTTTATTCTTTTATCTTTGTGTGATACAACTCTAGCTTTAGGTAGACAGCAGCACCAAGCAAGCACTCATTCCATGCAGAAAAGGAGACATCAAATACACATCCAGGTGTGACATGGAGCTGCAGACTCCAGGCAAGCAAAGTGGCAAAAGCCTATTTGAAAACATAAAATGAGCCCAAGTGGATCCCAGAATGAAGAAGAAGAAAGAAGCACCACGATTCCTCCTGTTGACAACTCCAGATAGTGACAGCTCATTTACCACTCCACAACCAGAATGAAATCACCCACCTTGCGACCCTGAAGARCAGTGGCAGAATAAGAGACATGAGAGGAGAAGAGGCATAAGAGATGGAAAGAGGGATAAAAACTAAGGGTGTGGGTAATAGTTTTGCTGCATTACTATGCTTTCTTTTTCCATAATTAGATATAGACTAACAGTAACTCATGAATTGGGCTGTTAATAATTCTATTATACTAAAAAAATATTGATTTTAAAGAATGTGTGATTCCTCTCTTCCCATAAGAAGATCTTGTGATCAGGAATATAACAAATATTGCTGCTAAATTACAACCAACTGTTTAAAATAAATAAATAAATGAATCTGCTAACTGGGGTTTATTTTGCAAGTGCAAAGAGTGACCACCAAAAGGGGGAATATTTTATAATTGTGTAAGTCCCTTTCCGCATGGTTTTGAACAAGTTTCCCCTCGCTCTTAGCTATTAATGTAGTTTTGGAAGCTAGGGAGCTTTGGGTCTTTTTCTCCTACTCTATCTTTTTCAGGTAAACATTAAAGAAGAAAATCTGACCCTGGTACTATATCCCAAAGTAAAGGCTGTAATGGCTTTGTGAGAGCAGCTGGGGAAGTTTCAGAGATGAAGATCTTGCCCTAGAACAACCCTTCATCACATCAGAAGGTAAGCACCAAAGGAAGTCATTTTGGACATAGTAGCTGCCTCCAGCTGCCATGCTGAAGACAAGAATAGTTTTTCATACAGTCAAGAGCAAAGCAGTGGAAGGCTTTACAAATAAAAGCCAACAAAACTGAGCAGAAACAGTCGGGTACTTTTTAAGAGGCACAACATGTCTGAGGGCTGCTATTCTGCATCAGTAAGCTGCTTGATGATTTTTCTGTTCAGAGACAGACWTGGCATTGCAATAATCAAATCTCTTCAGTGAGAAATATGAGGTGTATATAAATTGATACTACATCAGTAGAACTTGACAAAAGCTACATTTTTCAAGCTAGAATAATAAAATCAACCCATGGTTGAAACAGACTTTTGAGTCRCCTTTTGGCAAACACTGACCAAAAGATTATACAGTGCACACAGAACAGACAATATGTTTCATTCAGACATTCATCTTGTTGAGCAGAAGATGTGTAGGAGGAAAAATGTGTCTGCATCTCACTTTTTTTTCTTACTGAGAAAAAATAAGCTTGGCATGTGTAAATATCTCTAAGTAAATTTATGGACTGTAAAAAGTTTCACAGTAGTAAGTGTGGAAGACACTGAATTCAATCTGTATCTTTATTAATAGTCCATTGTTAAATATTTACAAGTTAAGTGATCTTCCTTGGCCAGCTTTATTTGCTCCCAGTTTCTTGTATATACTGACCACAGAGTTAAGTTGGAACCAAAATCTGTTGATCTTTTGTGCTATATGCTTGACTGAAGTGGATAATAGTTGAATACTAGACCAAATCTTCTAAGCACTGTTTTGTTGGATGTCTTTGAACAATGAAGAACCGCAAAAGTAAGAAGGTATGTGCTCATAATATTTAAACATCCAGCCTTGAAGAAGAAACTACAAAGGAAGCTTTGTCCCATTCACATTTGGAAAAAATGAAAGTACTGGAGAGGTGATTTGACAAACAGAATATAAGCTAGAGAAAAAGGGTAAAAGATCTTCCTGTAGAAATGATGGGAAGTTCTGGACTCAAAGCCCATTTTCCTTCCAAACACTGGAAAAATTTCTCCAGAAATCCTATCATTGTGGAACTCAAGGAATGAAAGAACAGAGGAAGAAAAATCTGTGTAGTAAATCTAATCTAAATTAACATAAGAACTTCCTAAATCAAAGTCAGATTAAAGAATTTGACACAAATAATAATCTTGTTATTGGAAAGGGGGTCTGGAACATCTGCGCTATGTGGCAAGACTGAGAGAGCTGGGCCTGTTCAGCCTGGAGAAGAGAAGGCTGAGGGGGGACCTGATCAGTGTSTATAAATACCTCAAGGGAGGCAGTGAGGAGAAGCAGGCTGGCCTCTTTTCAGTGGTGGACAGTGATAGGACTAGAGGAAATGGCTACAAGCTGAGGCACCAAAAGTTCCACTGGAAGTTAAGGAAAAATTTCTTTATAAGTGAGGGTGACAGAGCACTGGAACAGGTTGCCAAGAGGGATGTGGGGTTGTGGAAACTCCTTCTCTGGATRTATGTGAAACCCACTTGGACTCARTCCTGGGCCACATGCTCTAGGTGACCCTGYGTGTGCAGGGGGATTGGACTAGATGATCTCTAAAGGTCCCTTCCAACCATAAGGTCTATGGTTCTATGATAAGTCAGCAGATTGTAAGGCATGTAAAACAGGTAGAGCTCTCCTTCTCTGGAGATCTTCCAAACCTGCTTGCACGCAGCCCTGTGCCACGTGCTCTAGGTGACCCTGTATGTGCAGGGGTCACCTCTAGACCCCTCAGAGGTCCCTCTAGAGGTCCCTTCAAACCTTAAGGATTCTATGATTCTATTCTATGAATGTTCTGGAAAATTTCTCCCTATCTAAAATTGATTAAATGGATGTTTATCACAGACATTATGAACCATTTACTTTTTGACAGTACAAGATCCGATTTGGAAATGAAAATGCCACGTGTATAGTGAAAAACATAAGGAAAATGAAAAACCGGCACAAAGTGAATCAGCATGATGAAGATCATCAGGATCCTACAGAGAGAGGCAGCAGCTACTGCACAAACCTGAAACATGCAAACATGCTCACACCGAACAACTGACACCAAGGCAAAAGAGCAGACAAAAAATGGACAAAAGTTGCATTCTTACCACATCATAGGGAATTAGTAGAGAAGATAAACAATACGATGCCTATGATGATGTTAACTACTAGCCCACTTCATTAAATGCAACATTTGATATTCAAGGTTAAGTTCTATATGCACAGTTTCATTTAATAACATTCGTTATAATTGAAGTATTTTTGAAATGTTAAAATAGGATCATCGGTAAGATGGCACTTAAATAGAGTATTTCACCGAAGATACTGCTAGATTTTGTGCTTCACTCCAAGCATGCAAAAGGTCTAATGAACAGCAGTCCTAAAAACAGGATTACAATATTGCCTATGGTTTTTGTGACATAATTTTGAAGTAAGGTTACTACTTTCTAACTAAAATAAATATCACTGAAATGTTTTTATTTTCATTGAATGTCTAGTTAGTGARATGGTCTGCATATATAAAATTAATTAACTCCATGGCATAAACTGACTCATTGATGAGCCTGTATTTCATGTGGGTTCTTTCTTCTAGCTTTTTAAATACAGTTTTTGAAWACTACATATTCTTTAACACAAATCAAACTGCCCTGAAAACCATCTGTAAAAGAAATAAATACACACACACAAAAATTAGAGAATAACATGGAAAACTGGAAGTAACCTTGCAACAGGTTTACCAAACACAGAGATTAACCAAAATCAAATCTAAACCAATACAATTTCTAGAGTTCTATAAAAATTGAAAAGTAGAGAATTCCTCCTATAAAGACCCTATCCTGGTGGTCTGGACACAGTTTAATTCCAAGGATTGAAGCAAGATGCAATAGTTGACCCTCTCCTT